TCCTGCTGATCTTGGTAAAATCGGTCCGGATAGTGCGTAAATCCCTTGATAGCGGGATTTTTTCGAACTGCAGAACTTAGCAACAGGAAAACTCCTACACTTCCCTGTTTCACAAAATTGTGTCACTGCAAGAAAATCCCACACCCACTTCAATATGGAATTGTATCAATGGTCATAATTTTCTTTTGTCTTGTTTGTAGAGCGGTGACTCAATATTTTACATTTTAAAGGTGTCTAACTCATTTTTTCTTTTTTCATGTGGTTTAGTAGATAACTGATTTGCCACCGGGAAGAACGTCTGTGGAAACAACTGTTCTTGAAGGGAATGAAATCGGTTTTGAAAATGTCTTTCAGGTGACCAATTATTCTTACTCTTTTTTTTCTTCTGGAGTTTGTTTTGGTATATTACGAAGCACTTTTTTATTTTATCAGGATGCTTATTCGTTTTACACCTAATGGGCAATATGTAACTGTTCGATGCATATCTTAAAACAATGATGGATGTTACCCATCTGTTAATGCTTATGTTTTGAATTAGAAAATGTTTGGGAACTTTATATAGTAGCAGCAATTCTTATGTATTTACATATGTCACACTTCAACTTTCATATTTGCATGCACAGCACTTTGGTGCTTTAAACTGTGTATTTCAATTTTAAAAAGTGGAATAATGCTATTTTTGATGTGATATTAAAGATTCCTATGTGTAAATATGATAGTTCAGATGTGAGATATGTAAATACATAAGAATGGTGTGCTACATATGTAAATATCCGAAAACATTTTACTGCAGTAACCTCTGATTTCATTTATGAGAGGCATACTGTGAATGTTCTTTGAAGAAAATTTTGCATGAACATTTCGTGTCAATTTAACAATAGAAGTCATCCTAAATATCTAGGCTTGTAGGATGAATCATTGTCAGCATTTAATATCCGAATATGAATATTCTGGTGCAGTTCTGTCTTTGGAAGTTTTAACTAAACAATGCAAATTGTGCAAGTTCATATATATCTCTGCATTTTTTATTTTTTTTTCGTTTCAACGCAACCTAAGATTTGGAATGCTGAGGTGGGAGTAGACATTCGAACGTAAATTTAAGTTTAGCCAAAATTACATATCGAATTAAAATTTCATGGTCATCCACATAATGCCTACACTAAATAGATTAACAGATCCATGCGTTACCAAAATAGCATTTGACCTATGATTGTTATAACATGTTTATATTATATATATAAATACCTCGCACTTGCAGCACTACGAGTTCTTTGTATAAAGTCTCTTTATTTACTTATTTAGTTCTCTAGATCTTTTATTATAAAGATTCATCAATAATAATTGTAAGTATTAGAATATTAGAATAATAAAGGCTATCCCCGGCCGTTATTTCTATGCAGATTGCTGTATTATTTGCTTTTATTTACTCTTATTTGCATTCCTATTTTCCTTTATTTTTTCTATTTCTTTCTTTATGAGTGTTCCTTGTAATAGGGTTTATTTTCCCCTCTTTTTATCAATAAGATATGCTATTCTACTCCAATATTTCAACATGGTGTCAGAGCTGGGTTCTAATCCTAGATCCCAGCCACCGCTGGCCTTTCTTGCAGGGTCTCTCGCAGGGACTCCTAGCCGCCGGCCCTTCCGGCTAGTCTACAACCACCCCGACCCTTCCCTGGAGTTTCCTTCATCCGTCGACCCTCTCTTGCAGCCGCAGCCCTTCCTTGTTGTCTCATACAGTCGTCGGCCTCCTTGCCAACCGTTGGCCTCTCCTGCAGTTTCTGGTCTCCTCTCTGCAGGTCCTGTCGACTGTCCCTATATGTCATTTCTATTGTTATCTCTGGCACCTGTTCTCTCCTGCAGTTGTCTGATTTTCTACAATCTTATCTGTCAGTCGGTGACCTTCAGCTGAAATTTGGCAATATCTCGGAATCCCAACCGCATATCCTTTGGCTCAGTCGGAATCATGGCGGACTCCTCCAGCACTGAGCTTGAACTCCTCCAGCACTGAGTCATCCTCTTAAAGCATTCTTGATTCTACCGAATTTTTTATTCCACCGAATGACCAGAAACCAACATGAACTTTTGGATCACAGCTCACAAACCGAACGACGATAATTTTCTTCATTGGTCTCAAAATTGTTCTTATTCATCGAAGGATGCGGGAAATTCAGTCACCTATGATTCGTAAACCTACAAAGACTGACCCAACATTTTATGCGTGGCTTGTCAACTCCATTGAAGTGTCGATTAGTCGTTTATATATGTTCCTTCTACTACCGTCCATGATACCTACTCAGACGTAGGAAGTTTTGACCTACTCTTTGAGCTGTCTAAGAAAATCCGAGAGGCAAAACAGGGATCAAAGACCGTGACCCAGTACTACAATGATTTGGTTGCACTATAGATGAAATGCGACTTGTAATACGACTATACTTTGGTCTTTCCAGCTGACCTTTTTCTCTTCCAAAAAATTATAGAAAATGATCGAATCTTCCAATTCCTTGCAGACCTCAATAAAGACCTTGATAGTGTCCGTGGTCATATTGTTGGCTAAGAAGCTCTTCCTTTCGCTCACACTACTTTCACCGAGATTTGTCACAGAGAGTCGAAGACTTGTCATGCTCGGCACTTCCAACCCTTCAACCAAATCATATCCATGCTGATGGCGAAAAACTTAGGATTGGCCACACAGAAGAATACTCAATCCTACTCCTTTACCTGGTTGAAAAGTGGAAATGAGATACACGTGGATCAGCAGTGCTTGGTTGAATTTTCGATTAGGGATTAGTTATAGAAGCAAGTGTGGTGCGACGTGCTCCTTATGGATCTATTCCATATTCTGTTGGGGAGTCCATGGAGGTTCAACCCCAAGGCCCAACACGAAGGCTTCAAGAATACTTATTCATTTAAAAAGGATTGGAGACGCTTCTTCCTTTTACCTGTCAAGGAAGCGAGAAGCGTAAACGTCATAAAGGAGACGATAGTTTCCAAAGCCATGTTCTTGAAGTCGGTTTTAGATGCTCCAGTGGCAATGGCGTTGGTCCTATTGTAGTGAGCCAAGAAGGAGATTGAGATATCAACGCCTATACAATCATTGCTATGTGACTTTTAGGACTTGATGACCGACAGTCTTACGGAGAGATTGTCGCCACTAAGAGACATTCACCACGCCTTAGATCTCATACTCGGATTAGTGTTACCAAATTAACCTGCCTATAGATTGAGACCAGCCAAGTATGAGGAGTTGCAACAAGTACAAGATCTCGTCTCGGGTGGTGTGGCCAGAGAGAGCACGAGTCTGTGTGTGCTGTCTCCACCCTGATGGTACCCAAGAAAGGTGGAAATTTTTGTTGACAATAGGGTCATCAACATGATTACTATCAAGTAGCGGTTCCCCATATCTTGTTTGGATGATCTCTTGGATCAGTTGCATAGAGTCATTGACTTACTCAGTGGGTAACACCAGATTTAGATGAGGTTGGGGGACGAGTGGAATATCACTTTCAAGATGCGGGATGGATTATATGAGTGGACGGTCATGTCTTTCGAATTGTCTAATGTGCCCAACACGTTCATGAGATTGATGAATTAGGTGTTTCGGGCTCAGATTGGGAAATTTGTGGTGCACTTTGACGAAATTCTAGTATACATCAGCTTCGAGGGCACTTACAGCAATTGGGGATGGTTTTTGAGGTTTTGCGATAGAAAATCTTTACAGTCGTCCAAAAAGTGCCACTTTCTGACAGCACCAGTATGATTTCCGGGTTATATCATGTCTAGTGTTGGCATTAAGATGGATCTTATAAAAATCAAGGTCATTGTGAGCTAGACCGCACCACAGTTTTTTATCGAGCTGAGATAATTTATGGCACCAGCGTCATTCTACAAGCGATTCATTAGGAGCTTCAGTACCGTCACCACTCCCTCTATAGAACATTTGAAATGAGAGAAATTTCAGTGGACAAATGCAGCTCTGACCAATTTCGACGCGTTGAAGGAGGTGACTCAGGCACCATTTTTTGCATTATCGGATTTCAATTCAGTTGTTCTAGGCGGAGTGTGATGCGTCCAACGTGGGATAGAAGCGGTGTTGAATTAAGGAGGCCACCCCGTAACTTTCGTCTGTGAGAAGCTGAATGAGTCCATGAGGAAATACTTGACATACGATAATGTGCTCTAAGCTATTGTGAGAGCTTCTACTCATTGGAGCCACTACTTACTGATGAACAAGCTCTCTTTGTTCATGGACCATGAGGCTTTGAAATTCTTGAGCAGCCAGAACAAATTGAAAGGCCGACACGCGCCTTTGGTGGATTTCTTAGTGTCGTTTCAGTTCGTGCTTTAGCACAAGGTGAGGAGGCAGAACTGTGTAACAGACTCCTTGAGTTGTCCTCACTTGTTGATCACTACAATGTTGGCTCGAGTCGTAGGTTGAGGAAGTGAAGGAATTGTACGGGACAAATGAGGATTTTGGGAAAATTTAAGAGCAATGTTAGAACTCGACCGAGTAGTACCACAAAACTAAGGGTTACCTGTTCTACCAGAATAAGATATGTATTTCTAAGTGCTCATTGAGGAAGTACATTGTTCAAGAAAGCCACGGTGGAGTACTGTTGACCTTATTTTGAGGTCATTACTCTTTTCCTTAGGATCCTAGAATCTAGCTCTAGGAATTCCTATTGACTATCTTAGAGAACTAGTATTGGAATTCATCCTCTTAGAAATTTCAGTCACTTCTTATTTCTCTTGTGATGTCTCACATTGATGATCTCAAAATCATCGTCGTATGGTCGAGTGGTTAAGGATCATCATGTGGAGACTCAGGGAGAAGCTCCCAATAGGATTTCAAGCCCTAAGAAAACCTCTTCAGGACTTTATCATCACACACACACACACAAAATGCACAAAATTCACTAAGTTGCACAAGATCAGACTAAAATTGAGCTTAAAGGATGGGTGCAAATGCGAACTTTCTCGGACGACCTCCAATGACGAAATGGACTGTGTCAATGCATTCGAGATATCAATTTTAGCTAGGAAAGACACTCATATTGCTATAATTCCGCACACAAAAAAATTACACGCAAATCGATGAATTCGTTAAAATTTTCTCCGACGACGAAACTGACCACGCCATCGCGTCCAGAACGTCAGAATTACCTAAAAATGACATCAATTTTGTTATGTTGTGACGCATGAATAAAAATATACAAATCAAATTCTTATTTTTGAAATATTAAATACTTTTATATTTATATTATTACTTATAATATTAATTTTAATCCTAAACCCTATTTACCCCCTTTCACGCACACTTCACCTTCATTTGACCCCCGCGGCTCGATCAGGTG